CAATTACTTGATGTTTAGCTACTTCTCTCCTTTGTAACTATTAACGTAAATTCCTTTTATTTAACCGCAATAATGCACACTCCTACGGCTGTGCTAGAGGCCACTTGTATAGCGTCGCTAGTGCAGGTTGTTGGCGATTGCTTATTGTGTGACAGCGTTTTTGATAAAACGGCAGAGTACTCTCCTTCCTTGTTCCCCTCTCTTTGTAGGATTTCTCTATCATCAATATTTCTCAATAACGGGTGCTCGCACTTATGTCGGCTGGTGTGAGGGGGTCTCTCTCGTATATGATGTGTTGCTTGACTTTCACTGTCACACATCTCATGTTTATTTCAGCATCTCCTCTTCCACTCTATATTGTAGTCACATTCGTCCTTTTGAAAATCAATCATAGCGCTTGACCTATATATTATGTGTGGTAGGAATAGGTTCTGTGTTTATGTGAGCCTGTAATGCTACTGCGGTGTGCTAGATAGGGAAAAGTATGACCTGTTCAGAGTGAGAATTGCGGGGTTGGTTTATTGTAAAAACTAGGGGGATTGTCCATCAGTGTTTACGTAGCTTGAGAAAGACGTTTGATGTGCAGATAGGTGGCTTCTTGGGGCTTCGCGTTGTATATGATAATGGTGTTAATGGTGGATATGTGTAGTACCGCCATTCCTGGTATGTCATATATTTTTCTACTGCACCTGTCTCGTTACATCAGGGCCCCTATAATTATGGGGTTTGTTGAGTTATCCCTAATTCTACCACGTTTGCCATTCTATTCTAGTCTTGACATTTTTGGGTAGTTTAGTAGGAAGTGGTGTGGACTGTCAGCTGTGGTGGTCAAAATATCAACTATCTAAGTTTCATTTTATGTCGGTATATTACGTTCCTTTTCTGGAGGTTCATCCCTGAGGGAGCATATGTTTTCTTGTTCTTTCCATTTTAGTCTGAGGATCTGACCTCTTCACTCCTTTTTTTAGGCTGCGTCAGGGACAATGCCCTCTATACTCTGTCTTTTAAAGCTAAGGCATATACGTGATGGGGTCATTAGTGAACATCTCGTCTGCGAACATATGTGATTCTTTTCTTACGTCTGTGTCTTGACATTTCTTCTGCCGGGTTACTCGTTGCAACATAAAGGAACCCAATGTTACATTTGCCCCATCTAAAGAGAAGTTTCGCAGTGCGGATGAAATGGGTATTGTAGGGTCAGATATATGTGAAACAGCGGGTCCTTCCTGGTCGATCGCTCGTTTAAATTCTCTTTAGGCTGTGGCTGACCATAGTGTTCCATGTCCAATCCTCGAAGAATTGAAAAGGATTAATGAATTGGTGGAGCGTTGCTGTTGATCGGAGACCATTGTGATGGCATGTATTCCATAGCGGAGTAAATCAGATTGTTTTTTTACTAGTTGATGGTAGTTACTCTATTCTTTCGTAGGATGCGCTCCCTTGGAGTTGTTGACTTCAAATGTACTGTTCTCTGTCTATCACAGCCCATTAATACTTCAATTTCATCGCCCATCAATAAAGGTTGAAAGATCCCTCATTAGGCTCAGTCCTATGTCTTCTCCTTTTTTTGCTCGTTGTTTACTCCTATGTGTAATCATTTTATCCATTGGTTCGAACTACTCTGTGTTCATAGATGGACTCACAGATTTATTATCTCAAGACAGACCTCTGGGTTTCAGGACCCATTACCAGACCTATTTAACCATCTTGGTTTTTTTTTTTTTTTTTGACGATGGGATCTGCTCTGTCACCCAGGCTGGAATGCAGTGGTGAAATCTCAGCGTCACTGCAACTCCGCCCTCCCAGGGCAAGCAATTCTTTCGTGCCTCAGCCTCCCGGGAGTAGCTGGGGACTACAGGTGCCGCACCCAACGCCACTAAATTTTTGTTAATTTTATTAGAGAGGTCACCAGTGTTAGCCAGAGTGGTCTTTGGGCTGCTTGAACCAGTGACTCTACCTGCTCGCCTCGGGACTCACCAAGTGCTGGAGGTTCCGGCGTGAGCACCGACACCCGTGCCCACTATCTGATTTTTTACAGTTGTTTCAGAGGAACTTACGGATTCAAAATGTTCCAAACAAACTCACAGTCTTCTCTTTGAACCCTCCCCCACCTTAAAAAACCTTCCAAACAATTGGCTTATGGTTATTACTCAGCTTGGTGATGACACCACTATCCGTCCCCATGACAAACCCAAGAACCTAAGTCTTGATACTGTCGTTGCCTTCCATATCCAGTCTATTACTAAGACCTAAATTGAATCTAAATGTCTCTTGAATCTGTTTCCACCTCGACAACAACCATTCTAGTCCTAGTCCAAGCTACCATTGTCTTTCCATGACCTAATGTGATAACCTGTTGATCTATCTGTGTCCATTCTAGCCCTCTACAAAGCATTCTTAATATATTCAGTGTAATTTTTTTTTTTTGAGACAGAGTTTCACTCTTGTTTCCCAGGCTGGAGTGCAATGGTGCGATGTCAGCTCACTGCGACCTCCACCTCCCCCAGGTTCAAGTGATTCTCTTACCTCAGCCTCCTGAGGAGCTGGTGCCCACCACCACACCTGGCTAATTTTTTTTGTATTTTTAATAGAGACAAGGTTTCACTGTATTAGTCCAGCTGGTCTGGAACTCCTGACCTCAGGTAGTCCGCCCACCTCGGCCTCCCAAATTGCTGGGGTTATAGACATGCGCTACTGTGCCTGGCCCAGTGTAATATTTTCAAAATACAAAATGAAATGTATAAAAAATAGTAAAGACAGATACTGCCTCTGTTCACCAAAGCAGTCTGTAATATGTAAAAAATAAATTCTGGCTTCCTTTCCTGAGCTACTTTGTTTTACATATCTTTTCATCTGTGAAGTGCTAAATAGTTTCAAAGTTACACTTTTTAGCATGATGAAGCCATTTCTAACAGGATAGGTGAAGGGCCTTTTTTTTTTTTTTAGAATTACAGTATGAACTGATTAAGCAATAGAGTAGATACACTGAAGGTTATTTTACATATGTTCTTGATTTTCATTTTCTGTAGGCATGGTGAAAAGGTCAGTCTAAGCTCTAAGTGTGCAGAAATTGACCGAGAAATGATCAGTTCTCTTGGGGTTTCCAAGGCTGTGCTAAATAACGTCATTTTCTGTCATCAAGAAGATTCTAATTGGCCTTTAAGTGAAGGAAAGGCTTTGAAGCAAAAGTTTGATGAGATTTTTTCAGCAACAAGGTTTGTAACCCTTAAATAAACTTTGTAGTCCATTAAGTTATTGAACCGTGTTTGCAATTTGGATGCTTCTTTTTAACAGAAAGAATTTAAAAAGCAGAAAGGTCATCAGTTACTACCTCTCACCCAGCAGCAACCATTGGGCATATTTTATTTCACTTGTCTTTCTGTGCATATATTTATATACCTGATTGACAGTATAAATGTAATTTTTTTCACTTACTATGTCATAGGCATTTTCCAAGTTATTAGAAACTCATTGTAACTGTAACCTTAGTGACAGCATAATATCCCACTGTATGAATATACACCATAATTTACTTTGCCAGAAATTTGATTTTTGTTTTGTGTCTTCAAAGATACATTAAAGCCTTGGAAACACTTCGGCAGGTACGTCAGACACAAGGTCAGAAAGTAAAAGAATATCAAATGGAACTAAAATATCTGAAGCAATATAAGGAAAAAGCTTGTGAGATTCGTGATCAGATTACAAGTAAGGAAGCCCAGTTAACATCTTCAAAGGAAATTGTCAAATCCTATGAGAATGAACTTGATCCATTGAAGGTAACTTGATTTTATTTTTAATTGACAAAAATTGTATATCTTTGTGGCATACAGCATGATGTTTTGATAAAAGTATACATTGTGGAATGGCTAAATCAAGCTATTAACGTGCATAAAATTACTTCATTTTTTTTTAATGATGAGAACACTTAAAGTCTACTCTCCTAGCAATTATATATTGTTATTAACTAAAGTCACAGTGATATACAGTAGTTAATTTCTTGTATACTAAGGAGGTAGTCCTTTTTTTTTGTTTTTTGTTTTAACTATGGTAGCATTCTCCCCTTATTTGTATATGAAACTGAATGGCTTGTATATTTCTCAAATTATCAGTTAGCTAATGTTTTAGGTCTATATTAGTCTTTAAATTGCTCGAAGAGCTTGGATTTGAAAGAAATTTGTTGTATCACACTAAATTAGTAGTGTAGATCACTAGGTGTTAAATAGCAATATCATTACCCAGCCCTACAGTTCTATATTAAGATTTTTTTTAAATTGACAGATCTTTCTAGAGAATTTTTTAAATTTGCAGAATGTTTTTGAAACATTCAAAAGTTGTACAGAATTTGGAATTGATCCATAACATGTTGATATGTTTGCAAATGAGTATACCTGTCTAAATCCCGTGATTTATAAGAAAAGCCTACAGGAAATTCCATTCATTCATTTAATAAGCATTTATTGGGTGTCTTCTTTGTGTCAAGGTATACTGTGCTTGAGTACAGAAAAGGGGGTACTACAACAGCACGCCCCCCTGTCCTTAAGGCATTCCTCAGTCTACAGTAAGAGCATATCTTAAAAAATGGCTATTTTCTACATTTTAGATAGGTAGATTTTGTTAAGTCATTTGTAAGAAGGTATTTGATTTGATTTTTATAAAACTCCTGTAAATACCAAGGTATAGATCTTTGAATCATGACAGTAGAAAACTAATATATTTTTTAATGCATGGGCCATGCATAGAAACTAATACTGCAAGGGCTTCTGGGAGGAGGTTAGGGCTTGAGGTGCGGTCTTGAAGACTGGAAGAAACTCAAGTCGCAACTAGAAGATCATTTTATGTTATGTATGGTTCGTG